GCGAGTGAGGTTCGGAGGTCTAGCCGCGCCGGCTGCGTGCTGCATCAGTGTGCAACGGAGTGCAGTAAGAAACGCATGCCGTGACGAGGTTTCGGTGACTTGATTTGAACTACACCAGGGTGGTACTCGCGACCGTCGTGACCGTCGCCATGGCTGATACCCAGACTCCCGTCGTCGTGGCGGAGAACGAACAGAAGGACACCAGCGCGGAGATCCGCGCCAAGGAAAATGGTAGCGTCATCTTTTTCTTTTTCGTCCTATTGAGTGTGTTTTGTTGGGGCCGTGTGTGCGGGTGCGTTCGAAGTGGTGGTAGGCGCGGGCGGGCGCACTGGGTGCCTGCGGCCGCACGGAGGGCGTGCTTCACGTCCTCGGCGTCCTGGAAAGTCCAGGCGGGCCCTGGAGAATCCTGGAGCCGACGCGTCGCGTGTTCTGTCGGAGCCGTGCGGCGCGTCCCCGAGCCGGCCGGCCTGGAGCGCCGAGGACGCCGGCCCGGGGGACGCCCGTCGACGGCGACCTGGAGGCCTGGCCGCCGGCCGGGTACCCGGGGCCGCTTCCGGGTGCCTCCAGGCTGCTTTCCGCGCCCTCCTGGAGGCGACCGCGTGTTTAGTTTGCCTGGAAATCGTCGCCGAGAGGATTGTTTACAAACGCGGCCCTTCAGTAATGGCTGCCGGCCGCTTCGAAAAGCCCGCTGCCAACCGTGCGGGGGCCCGCGTTGGGGGCGCCGCGTTCGAACGCGCGTTTCTAGTGCCGGTGCGAACGGCGGGGGCGGCCGATCGGGGTCCAAAGTGGAGTCCCCTTGTTTCTAGTGTGCCGAATAAGGCAACTCCGGGAAATAGTGTAGCGTCAGAGGCCGTCACCTCCACGCCGTGGTTGGCGGCCCTGATCCATCATGGCGGCAAGCAAGCACCACTCCCGTGCGGCCGCTATCTCCTCTTGCATTATCGCTCGCGTCACAATCACTTTCGATGCAGTGCATTTCGATTTTCACTTTTTTTTTGTGGGGATAAACGCAGAAAATTTCACAAATTTTCGACTTTTTCGAAATTTTTTTTGACGCGAAAGATGATGGCCCGGCCCTTGCTGTTTCAACCGCGCATTTCCCGCATTCTCCGAATATTTTTTTTTGTTGACTTCATCTTTTGAACAGTACGCTCCGATGTGGAGGCAGTGCTGCTTCAAATAACTGAAACAGAAATCTCTAGTTGTTTTTGTAAATTGTTTTTCGCTGCCCCCTTTTTTTTGTGGTGGGGGAATTGTTTCTGAGGGGTGCGATCGGCGAATGCGAGCCATATTCCCCCCCCCCCTCCTCACCTTTTCTTGGTCTGTGTTGTCACAATGCATCTGTACAGATTAATTTTGCCCCCCCCCTCCTTTTTCTGCACATCCCATCCCGGGGCTGAGCCGCTGCCGCTGCGATGCTCTTGTTTGCGGCCTGGAATCCGCTTGGCCCCGATGCTGCTGTTGTTGTTGTTGTTGTTGTGCTGCTCGTGCACCGCTCGCGGTTTGAACGCGTCCAGGGTGCATCTGCCCTAGTTCTGGGCCTCGAGGGACAGACTCGGCGCGTCTCTCCGCATCGCCGCGTCGCCCTCCAAAGCGAGGAGGGGAAAAAATGCCGATGTTCCCACTTCTCTGTCTCTCTTTCTCTCTCTCTGTCTGTCTCTCTCTCTCTCTCTCTCTCTCTCTCTCTCTCTCTCTCTCTCTCTCTCTCTCTCTCTCTCTCCTGCTCTCATTACGCTCCGTGCAGTGAGTGCGACGAGGACGGGGCATCTGCAGGTGCAGTCCGGGCCTCTGGGCCTCCACTGCGTGTCTCCGGGCCGGCCTCTTGCTAACAAGCCGAGCGAGCGCGCAGCGCCGCGGACTGATGCCGAGGGTCCTTTTGGTCACTCTGTCTCTCTCGCACTCATGGGGCGTCTCGTGCAGGAGCGAGCGAGACGGAGCGCCGAAAAGGACTCTCGGAATCGGCCTGCAGCGACAAAGGCCAGGTAAAGCGCCCTGCACTGTAAGCGAGCGTGGCGCGGCGTGGCGGGGCAACGTGGACAGAAAGGAATTGGCACCGAGACGAGCGTCCAACGAGGCTGTTGCTCGCTGTCGGCACACTGCCGGCGCGTCCAGGACCGTCCAGGTAGAGCAGGAAGAAGCAGCATTGTCCTGTACACTGTCAAAGTTCGTGTTGTCAGAGTTTCCTGCCTGGGCGCGAGTCTCGGTTTCAGGGGCGAAGGTGGAGCAGTGTTGCCACATAAGTAGGCAAAAACTCCCGCGAGACGCCAGTACACTGCAAAGCCGGTGGTAAGTTTGCTTGCCACAAAATTGGCACGCCGTTTTGAATGCCAAAATTTGGCAAGCTTTGGTCGGAAATCTTCATAAGCTTGCCAAATTTCGGCAAGCTGGGGGGTATTTCCGGGCCAAGCTTGCCAATTTTTGGCATTGATCAAAACGGCTCGGCAATTTTGTGGCAAGCAAACTTACCGCCGGCTTTGCAGTGTAGTGTCAGGGTTGCCACCCTCAATCTTGAATTTGAGAGGCTGGACCACTGAGCTTTGATCTCAGGATGTTGCCTGGTTGGCAGGCTGAGGTTGGCAACCCTTCTGACTCACCAGTGCTCCGTGTTTTGCCTTCTTTACTTGGGGGTGCGGGTGAAAATCTTGGCCTGCTTCCTGAAATACTGTTGCATCTGGCCAGCCCGTCGGAACCGCATAATTTCTCAGCGGCAACACCTAGTCCACCCCCTGACAATGGGCCAGAAGACCGGCGGAGGCGGCCAAAACTCTAGACGCGTTTTGAGCTGCAGAGTGTCTAAACAGGTCTCGAATCGAACGTGTGACCCCACCAATGGATTGCTCTCCGAACGAGGAATCCATTGGTGCGGTCACACGTTCCATTTGAGTCCTGCCTAGCGACTCTGGATCTCAAAACGCGTCTAGAGTTTTGGCCGCCTCCACCGGTCTTCTGGGCCACTGTGGGACGCCGCCGCGTCTCTCTCGCACCCCTGCGGCGCGCCCCGCGAGTGCGAGAGAGACAGCGCGACGTGTGACGCCCCACGCTCGAACGCCTTTACGTAACCCGGGGTGCGGGCGGGCTTCGCGGTTCCAGGCAGATCGCGTAATCAGTGTGGGTGTAAGCGACTGGACGTAAAGCCAGTCTAATCGGATCGAAAGGGTGGCGGCGCGTTCTGGTTTTCCACGGTTTCCCGGGCCGCGCCGGCAGGGTTTTCCGACAGGTTTCCCCGGGCGCGGGAAAGCCGGGCGCGCGGATTATCCAAGGCCGGGGGCTGCCAGCTCTGCCAGGCCGGCCGCTCCGGCCGGGTCGTTGGCCTTTGCGCCGCACAGAGGGCCGCTACCGAAAAGCGCGCTTCGTCGCTCCGTCTCTCTCGCACCGGCGCGGGACGCACAGTGGGCCAGAAGACCGGTGGAGCGGCCAAAACTCTAGACGCGTTTTGAGCTCCAGAGTCGCTAAATAGGACTCGAACCGAACATGTGACCCCACCAATGGGTTCCTCGTTCGGAGAGCAATCCATTGGTGGGGTCGCACGTTCGGTTCGAGTCCCATTTAGCGACTCTGGAGCTGAAAACGCTTCTATAGTTTTGGCCGCCTCCACCGGTCTTCTGGCCCACTGTGGGACGCCCCGTGAGTGCGAGAGAGACAGCGACCGCCGGAATCGGCTCTGCTGCGCTAATTTGGCAAGGTCGTCGACACGGCGGGGAGGCCTCATTATTCCGGGGCGCGGCCTCCGGATTAAAAATTGATTAAAATGATTTTGTGCGTTAGGTAGTTTTGTGGCGCGCTGTGAACGCGTCACCCTGTGCTTGCACTCTGCAGTATGTTCCGGAAAGGACACGTTGCATTTCCGCGCTATCTTTGTCGTTTTCTTCATTTTGCGACCTCTGCGCTCTTCCGTCGGCCCGGTCGGTGAAATCTCCGGTCCATCGCCGAGCTCGCCCAGTCCCCCCACCCCGCCCTGCACTTTTTGGGCGCGCCCTCCCTGGCGCGAAGATGGGGCAGTGGGCGCCGAGCGGGGGGCGGCGGCAGGGAGGGCTGGGGGCGGCTGGGGGCTGCGGCCGCGCCACCCCCTCAAAGCCCTTCCCGGGCGGGGTGAGGTAGGGCATGGAGGAGCTGTTTTGGCGACACCCCCACCCACAACCACCCGCTGGTACTCGCCCCCTTCCCCCACGCCCCCCGCACTCGCTCCGCTCTCGAACGGCAGAGTCGACCCAGCGCGTTCGATGTTGGCGCTGGTTCCCGGGCAGGGGGCCCGCTGCGCTCATTGGCTGCACGGGGGGCGCTGGCGCGCGCTGGCGGCGCAAGGGCCTCCACGGGGCCGTGGCGGCCGGCCCAGGGCGCGAGGCGCGCGAGGGGTGTGGAGAGGGCTGTGGCCGGGGCCAGGCCGGGGCCCAGCGCCGCGCTAGCAGCGCTCCCATTGGACGAGCCTGATGAATGTCTTGTTTACAATCGATAGCAAGATGGCTTCCACAAGTGTCCGGCCAGGCTGCAGCAGCGCCAGCAGCGCTCGCGTCGAGTGGGTCGAGGCGTTCGAGTCCCAGGGCCGGGCAGCCCAGCGCAGGGCAGCCAGGCAAACGCAGGCAAGCCGCCAGGCCAGACAAATCTGGTACGTTACCGGCCGCGCGCGCGGAGCACGCGAAGCACGCGACGAGGAACCACAGCGCGTCCCCGCCGTCACTGGGCCCTTTGCGCGCGGCGTGGCGAGGCGTGGTGTGGCGCGGCGAGGCGTGGCGTGGCGCCCGCGCTTTTTCCAGGGTCGGGGGTGGCGTGGAGTGGCTAGGGAGCGCAGTACCGAGCTGGCGGGCTGAAGGGGCTGAAGGGCGAGCTGTACCATGGGTCGGGCGGCCCCTCCGTGCCCTCCGTGACGCCGCGCCAACGCCAGCCTGCGCGGCCTGCGCGCTGCCTAGGCCCGCCTAGGTCCGCCGAGGCGCGCCCGGAGGCTGCAAGGCCCACCTGCGTCAAGGCCCGCGCCAAGGTCCGCTAGGCCACCGGGTCGCCGTTGTCCAGCGCAGCCCGAGCGGCCTAGCGGCGCAGCCAAGCGCGGCCCGCACCCAGTGGTGACGCCTACCGAGGGCGTCGACGCAGCGAAAGTGCCGAGCGGCGACATGGACAAGGCGGAGAAGGCGGCCAAGGACAAGATGACCGACGAGAAGGCCAAAAAGAAGGCGGGCGACGGCGACCCCCCGGTCGGCGACGACCTGGCCGCGGCCGACGTGGACATGGCCCACCTCGACGGCGGCGACATGGACGTCGACGACCTGGACGGCGGCATCGGCCTGCACGGCCTGGGCGCCGGCGACGACGCCGATCTGGAGGGCGACTTCGCCAGCTTCCTGATGGACGCCGTCGACGCCGAGGACGAGAAGCAGGAGCGGAACGTGGAGTGGGGAGGAAAGCGTAAGTGATGCTGGGCAAGGGGTGCGTGGCGTGGAGAGGCGTGGAGTGGCGTGCTGCCGCGTCGCGCTCGCGGCTCCACCTTTCCCCCCGTGGGCCCCGTGGGGCGGCGACGCGGCGACCCCCCCGCGACCCCCCCGCGCCGCCATGCCCGGCCATGCCGTGGCCATCCGATTCCCCCCGCGTGTTTACCAGTCGCTGATAGGCAGCGTCTTGCCGGGGAACGCCGCGTCTGCCACAATTACGTCCTGGTCCGGGCAGGCTGGCCTGGCGCAGTGCGCGCGTGAGTCAAGCCAACCTGCCAGCCAGCTGCCTGCCCGCCAGCGGCGCCAGCCCGGGCCGCCCGCCGCCGCCATGGCTACAGGCGCCCCGCGGCCCGCCATGAGCCCGCCGCTCAGCCTCATCCACAGCCACCTCGCCAAGTGTGAGCAGCATGTGTTGTTTTGGGTTTGCGGCGTCGCGCTTTTTGAGCAGGCCACTGGAAACCAGGTTGGCGAGGCCGACGGGCACCGCGCGACGGGCCTCCGCTTTCGCGTTTCCACGGTGTGGGCACGCGGTTTGGGCCTTTGACTTCATGGCTGGAGTGGACTCCAAAGCCTGTGGGGGCGGTTTGTGAAGTCAGCCTTGTGTTCGCGCCAGCCGACCCCCGTCGCGCCTCCACCAGTCACTTGCCCGCCATTGCCGTTATGTTGCTCTTTTTGCTTCTTCGCGTCCCTTTGAGACGACGGTGTTGACGAGGGCAGCGCGTGGCCTGGTGTGGGCCTGGTGTGGGTTCACTGTGGGCTTTGCGTGGGCTTGGTGTGGGCCGCAGAGCCCCTGTCGTGCTGTGGGTGGCCAGGCCTGCCAGGCCCGGTGGGGCAGGCAGCGCTCACAACAAAGGGTTGAGCAGGTTGTCTATTTTTCACGCGTTCGACAGCCGCGGACTCACGCCAGGTGGCCCTTTCCCGGTGGGAAAAAAGAATAGGCACCCGGAAAACATTGAAAATATGACAGTGTGTGCTCTATCTAAGTTTCTCGATTTTCTGATGTCGGTGACCTAGCGACGAAAAGTGCTGGTGCGTCAAAACAATTAGTGGCTGCACTGAATCATCCACGTAGTTGTCAAAATGGCGCCCGGCAGTGGGACCGTGAGTGTGCCGTACGTGAGTGTGCCAGGGGTGTGAATCTGTCCAAACCGTGGCGGTTTTTCTTGTTTCTCGGCAAGAGCAAACCTTAGCCAGGAAACCGGTGGAGGCGGCCAAAATTCTAGACGCGTTTTGAGCTCTAGAGACGCTGAACAGGACTCGAACCGAACGTGTGACCCCACCAATGAATTGCTCTCCGAACGAGGAATCCATTGATGGGGTCACACGTTCGGTTCGAGTTCTGTTTAGCGACTCTGGAGCTCAAAAACGCGTCTAGAATTCTGGCCGCCTCCACCGGTCTTCTGGCCCACTGCGCGCCGTGTTGTTGTCTCGAACCCGACGGCAAAGACACTCGAAGTCGCGGGCGACATGAGGCGCCACCTGTACACTGTACAAACCGCGCCAAAAGCCGCGAAGCAGCAGCCACCGGTTGCCGCTTGGCCGCGGCCCTCCGCGCTTCCGCCTTACAAGGCGCCCAGACCAGCAGACTCATTCCGAGAGTCGTTTTCGTCGCTCTGTCTCTCTCGCACCTATACGGGACGCCCCATGAGTGCGAGAGAGACAGAGCGACGCAGACGACTCTCGGAATCGGTCTGCTGAGTCGGATGTAGAGGGGCACTTGCACTTATATCCTACTTGCAGGGACGTGTGGCTTGCTGGTGGACATCTGGGGGTCCAGGGGGGTCAATAATTGACCTTTTGAACCCCAACTGGCGACGGCTGCAACCCAAACGCTGTGTACTAACGGTGTGGTGACTTTGTTCCAGGGTCCCCCGGGGCGGTGTCGGTGGGCGCGGACGAGGGCGTCGGCGCGGAGAAGCGGCGCGGCCGCTGCAAGTGGTTCAACGTCGCCAAGGGCTGGGGCTTCATCTCCCCCGACGACGGCGGCCAGGACATCTTCGTGCACCAGGTGAGTGTCACCGTCGCCGACCTCGGCGCCAGCTCCTGCGCAGGGAAATACACTGGAAGTTTTCTTACCATTCCAGTGGCGATCCCTTTTGCATGCCGAAATCTGCCCTTTCGGGTCTGGATCGCCCTCTGGGAATGCCATGGTTTGGCCCCCTTCACAGTGGGCCAGAAGACCGCCGTGGAGGTGGCCAAAATTCTAGACGCGTTTTGAGCTCCAGAGTCGCTGAATGGGACTCGAACCGAACGTTTGACCCCACCAATGGATTCCTCGTTCGGAGAGCAATCCATTAGTGGGGTCAAACTTGTTCACTTCAAGTCCCATTTAGCGACTCTGGAGCTCAAAACGCGTCCGAGATTTTGACCGCCTCCATCGGTCCTCTGGCCCACTGTGCCCTGGGCCTGAATCACCCCTCTGAACAGGCCAAGCTTTGGCGGTCAAAACGCCAAAACGCGGCATTCTCAGAGGCCAAATCTTGGCATTCAAAACGGAGCGCCACTGGAGTGGCGAGGAAACTTACTACACACTAAATTCTTATGGACTTTTTAAATGCATAATGACGCATAATTTATGCATAGTTATGCATGCGCAGAAACGTCCATAAGGTATGAATAAAATTATGCATCATTGTGTACATTTTATGCCCTTCCTGCATAAAATGTACACAGTGATGCATAATTTTATACATAACATATGGACGTATCTGTGCATGCATAACTATGCATAAAAAAGTCCATAAGAATTTAGTGTGTAAAAGGACAGTAATGCGTGAGTGAACAATTCCGGTCGACTAGTCTTTTGTTTCCCCGGCCGCGAACATTGGTCACTGTCTGGAACGAAACTTTCATCATTGATCTGGTCTGATTGCTTTCCACAAGTATGAGAGGGGGAAAGGGGGGGGGGGGGGGGGGGGGAGCCCGGCTGCTCGGATTATTCCGTCGAGATCAACCATCAGACAGACTACAGCCCCTGATCTGTCTGATCAGTGGGCGGAGCGGAATGGCTCAGTGTCTGCTCGGCGATTCCGAACGCCGCTTTTCTTTCTCTCTCGCACCCTTACGGAGCACCCGGCGAGTGCGAGAGAGACAGAGCGAAGCACTGCTCAGAGGCAGCCTGCAAGCCTTGGAGGCGGCACACAGTGGGCCAGAAGGCGCTCAAAATCCCGGACGTGTTTTGAGCCACAGCGTCGCTAAATGGGACTCAAAGCGAACGTGTGACCCCACCAATGGATTGCTTTCCAAACGGTGAATCCATTAGGGGGTCACACGTTCGGTTCGTGCCCTTTTTAGCGACTCTGGATCTCAAAACGCTTCTAGAGTTTTGGCCGCCTGCACCGGTCTTCTGGCCCACTGTGCGTCAGGCCGCGCCACCGGATGACGCCGCGTCGTATCGCACCTCGTCGATTTCTCGATTTCTGTTCGGAGACTCTTCTCTTGGCACTTCAGAATCCCAGAACTCAAACAAAACCTCGTCTGAAAAATTTCCTCCGTCAGAAATTCTCTTTCCCTCCCGGTAGAGCCGGGTCATGACAGGCAAATGCAATTTGCCAACCTCGTCAACGTGGCCGCGTTTCGAACTTGGCGCTACGCTGGGAAAACAGAAAACTGGGGGAGGGAGGCGGGTCGTTCTCGAGTTCACCACCAGGGGCGCTGCCGTGGCCAGGGGGGGGGGGGGGCAGCGGCCCCCCGGAAGGGGTGGGTGGCGGGGCGCCCCGCTCGCCGGGAGGTGGGCGCAAGCTTCGCGGGCTGCGCAGGCTTCGCAGGTGGCCCCCTGGCGGGGTGGGGCTGGTGGGTGCCCTGCCTCGCTGGGCTCCCTGCCAGGGGGCGCCACCGTGCCAACCCTTCCGAGTGGATCCACTAGGCCGTGAAAGGGGAGGGGCGGGTGGGGCGTGTGATATGGGGGTTGGGGGGCGGGCGGTGGGGGTTCGGGGGTGGGGTTGGTGGTGTGCAGGTGGGGGTGCGGGGGTCCAGGGGTGCGGGGGTGGGGGTGTGGTTCCGGGGGTGCGGGGGTAGGGTGCGCGAGCTGGGCGCTGCGGGGGTGGGTGGGCGGTGGTGGTCTGGCGGCCTCTTCCACAGGCGCCACGCCCGGCCGCATAGGCCGGCAGCACCATTATCATTTTCCAAATAAATAAAACACTCCATGCTTCCCACACTCACGCGACCGCCGCGGTGGAGTTCTCGATTGGATGATTGGAGTCTGGCGGACAGACGATACACTCTGCACATTTTTTTGTGTGCATGGAGGGCGCAGCTGCCGCGCGGCGGGGCAGCCTATCTAGGGGCCTCACACCACACTGTGAGGCCCGTACTCGTAGTGAGCGTTGATTTGAGAGTGAATGCCGGGCACACAGTCAAATTGCCAGAAGACCGGAGGAGGCGGCCAAAGCCCTTAACGTGTTTTCAGCTCCAGAGTCGCCAAATAGGACTCGAACCGAGCGTGTGACCCCACCAATGGATTCCTCGTTCGGAGAGCAATCATTGGTGGGGTCATACGTTTGGTGCGAGTCTCATTCAGCGACTCTGGAGATCAAAACGCGCCTTGAATTTTGACCCTTCCGGCCCACTCGGGCGGGCGTTCACAGCGACAGTGTTTGACCGGGCGCCATCTTGTGTTGCAGAGCGTGGTCCAGATGTCCGGCTTCCGGTCGCTGGGTGACGACGAGGAGGTCGAGTTCGAGTGCAAGGTGTCCGACAAGGGCCTGGAGGCCACCGTGGTGACCGGCCCCGACGGCACCGACTGCCAGGGTTCCCACCGCCGGCCCGCCGCCAAGAAAAGGTTCAGGAAGATCAGGTGAGTTGCTTTACCGGTTGGCAGCGGACTCATTCCGAGAGTCGTGCTCGTCGCTCTGTCTCTCTCGCACTCATGGGGCGTCTCGCTTAGGTGGGAGAGAGAGAGACAGAGTCACGGAAACGACGACTATCGGAATCTGTCTGCAGTCCATTCGCCCGAAGGCGTCCAGGGTGCGCGTGCCGACTGCTGCAGAGTGGACCAGGACTTACACTGTGGAGTGAAGTGTGTAAAATCGTTATGTGAACTCACTTTGGTGAACGCAGAGCGAGTGCACTCTTAAATTCACAGTGCTTTTTGGGCGGACAAAACTTCTAACAGGCGTGCTGAGAGCTAACGTTTTCAAACCGTACTGGACGAATCAAACACGTCAAATCAACGGATTGTCCAGTCAAAGGGAAAACCGTTGTTTTCCACCATGAGTTTTGATTCGAGGCCGGTTTGAATGAGGACATTACTAAATTGTTTTGAGCTCAAAGCGAGTGTAGAGTTTCGTCCGCCTGATCCGGTACTCTGGTTCGCTGCTCTTTTCTGCCCCTTGGGATCTCGTCACCGAAGCTTGGCGGGAATCGTCGCATCGGGTGAAAGGTGGGGGCCTGCGCGTTTCCCAGCCCTTCCCCGGACGCGCCGACGCCAAGCCGTTCTGCAGACTGATTTCGAGAGTCGTTTCCGTCGCTCTGTCTCTCTCGCAATCACGGGGCGTCCCGTATAGGTGCGAGAGAGACAGAGCGACGAGAACGGCTCTCGGAATCGGTCTGCTGGCGGGATTCCAAGGCGGAAGGAAAGGCCAGTCGGCACGCTGTTCTGGACACCTCTCGAGGCCCTGGACGGGGTGTTTTCGTTCCGATAAACCTGGATGGTCAAGAACAAAGATTTGTTCTTCGTGGAGATATTTTGAGACTTGTAGGACTCACTAAAATGCAATGACCTTCACTTTAAAAATGATAACAAACAAATCGTCGAAGAATTTTTTGTTGATTTTCTTGTTGTTGTGAGAGTGGTACAGTGGTTGTTCAGTCAACACAAAGTAAATTCTGAGCAACTGGAACTTCAGTTAATTTACTTTTAGGACTCTCTTGTATGTCTCAAAATATATTCCAATGGACTAATTTTTGTTCTCCTTTTTCATCCTCTGCATGGTAGAACAATCTCCTGGCATCTCCTGGCGTGAAAATTTTGTCAGAAAGTCAGAAACATGTCTGAAACCCTGATCAAAATTCACGCACCTCTGAAAGCTGAGATTCTGAAAACGCATTTTGATGTTGATGGCCTGACCTCTACAAATGTCAGAGTAAGTTTCAGAGGAGCGCGAATTATCAGGATTTCAGACAGGTTTCTGACATTCTGACAAAATTTACACGAGTGGGGATGGTGTTACCATGCGTCAGGCTTATCGAAATGGCGAAACCCCGTCGAGTGAAATTACCAGTGCTCCCCCGCCGTTCCGAGAACAGTGCCAATAATGATAACCCGTCCTATACTCACTGCAGGTGCTACAATTGCGGCGAGTTCGCCAACCACATCGCGGCCAAGTGCACCATGGGCCCGCAGCCCAAGCGGTGCCACCACTGCAAGTCCGAGGACCACCTGATCGCCGACTGTCCGACCCGCAAGGAGAAGAAGGAGGGCGAGAAGGAGGAGGGCAAGGAGGGCGAGAAGAAGGCCGAGACGGAGATCAAGGAGGAGAAGGCGACGAGAAGAAGGAGGACAAGAAGGACGACAAGAAGGCCAAGACGCCCAAGAAGGGCGACGACGGCAAGGATGCCAAAGCACCAGCGCCGGCCGCTCAGTAGCAGAGGCAACCCGCCGATCCATTCCGAGAGTGTGTGTGTGTATGTGTGTATCTGTGTCTGTCTCTCTACCTGTCGCTTGGAAGGCAAACCCTTGCGTGTACGAGTCTTAGTCTTGTGTTCCGTTGACCCCCGTAGCCTCGCTGCAGTGCGGCGCGACCCATTAGTTCAAATTGTTGACACGAATCAAAAAGAATGTAATTGAAGCTCCTCACGGACCGCTCGGTTTGGCCGAGGTGTGTGTGTGTGTGGCGTAGCTCCTTAGCCAATTGTTCTTCTGTATGTGCCATTCTGTACGTGCACCGGCCCCCCGGGCCACCCCTACCCCTTCCCCTCGCTGGATGTGCAGGGGACACTAGACCTGGAGTGAACAAAACATCGGAGGATATTAACTACAATTTTTTTTTCTTTTTCGTTGAAGAGTACTTATGACAACAAATTTAAAATTTCATTTTGAGGCATGTGCTGGGTGCCAAAGTCAAATCAATCAGTAAAACTAAAGGACCAGACTGTTTTTTTCTTTTCAGAATGGTGTTATGAGTTTATTTATAGTGTTCTGAGTGAATCACTCGTGTAGATCTGGAAACTGTAATGACCTGAATAATTCACTGCCAATCTTGAAAATCGTGGCACCTCTATACTCAGCCTGAAAATGATCTTACTGTCGGCTGTCAACAACACAACTTCGCCAACAGTGGTGCAAATTGTCGTGAAACGAGTTGACCTTCACTTAACCTAGTGATCCTTGTTTTGAAAACAAATAGTATTATTATTTTAAAGAATGTTTATATTTATTATTTTAATGCCTTTTTCATGTTTAAAAAACTATTTTCGATGTTTTGATACGAAAGGCCAACGCCTTCTGTAATCTCACCTCCGAATGCTGTAGGCTTTGGGTCTCTGGCAGAGGGTTATAAAAATTAACTCAAAACATATTTCATCCCAGTGTCGCGAATGGCGTTTGGGAGTTTGATTTCCGGTGAAAATAAAGCTTAAAAGCATACGACTGAATTCGAGTTTTTTTTTTTTTTGTTCCATTTCGTACATTCCTATTCAAAACGTCCCGTTCTCTGAGCCGAGAGTCGTTCCAAGTTGCTTCCCAGCTGATGGCCAGCTCGGCCACGACCCCGGGAGCCTCCGAACCACAGACATCCAGACTGTCCCGGGTACCCGAGTGCTTGTCACTCAGCCCTGTCGGAGGCAATCACAAAATACGTACCCTGAGGGACCAACAGTGTCACCCTTATTCACTGCAGAATTTTCTCTTCTCTAGTTATCATTGAACGCCGTGGTCACATGCTGGAAGTTACACGTGTAAAGTGGGTGGTTCGCTCGTTGTAGAACACATACCGTCTACCATGGAGCGCCTCTCGCAAGCCAGCCACCCTGTACCTCACTCATGTGGTAGCTTTCACCTGATGGCCAGTAATTTTCTTTTTGGCGTGTGTTCGTTATTTGTATTTCTTGCTGTGTGGGAAAGGGCCGAGGAGGGAAAAATGTTTTCAAATGCTTAATCGCCGCATTTAAAAGCTTTCCGTTGCGTCCGGTTTGTTTTCCTATTTCGGAGGGGGGAGGGTGAAATGACCTAGCAAAGCTATGATCTCACTAAGTTTGTTATTTTTATTTACTTTTGTAATAAAAACTGTAAATAATGTGAAATAACAGGACAGCAGCTCGTGTGGCTCCCGCACTTCGCGTGTGGCTCCACAGGAAAGTTTCCGACTTTCAGCAAAAAAAGATATGATTTATTTTCGCAGTCATTTTGCTGTCTCCATTCTGTTTGTTTCGCGCAAATTTTTCCTTCTTTGGCGTCGAATGTATCAAATGAAGGTGTTTTGGCTCGGTTGTGATTCCTGCCAGCAGGTTCCGTTTGTTGCTGAACAAGGGCCGCAAAGCACGAAGCGGTCCCCCCTTCTATAAAAATAATAAAAATAAATGAATTCTTGGCGTGTTGGGATGGGGCACACATCTGTCGGCTTCAGCGTATGATCGCTGTCCATTGTGTTTTGTAGGCAAATAAATTATGTCTTGTGCACATCGGCTTTCATTCGTTGCCCTTTCACCAAATCAACTCACAGTGAATGGCGGACAGAAATGGGACAATGATGCTTCACAATGCGACCCACGTGACACATCAGACCGGAGGGAATGATGGTGGGGCCATTGTTATTTGGCAGAATGCCAGTTAATTAAATTGGAACCCCGCCAAAGGACAATTATCACACTTTTAAAGTATCGTTTCCCACCTTACGGGTTTGTTTACACATTTCATTTCATTCTCTCACATCACTGTAATTCAACCTGCAATGCTGACTGATATTTTGCTATAAAAATGTTGCACTGTTTTGCTACGAGTCTTACTTTAATTTTTTTTAAAATGAAGGCAAAATTTTGCGACAAAAGTACTGCGGAGCTCTCCTTGAACGCAAATATCAAGGGTAGGTTATAGCAAATTATTGCGATAGCCATAAATTGCAGGGAGTTATAACATAAATCGTGGGCATTTCAACATCGGTTTTATTGCAAAGAAATTGTGGTAAAAGTATCGCGGTATGAATGACGGTGTAGGGATCGCCTTTACAGTGTGCGAGACGCGCAGAAACAGGCAGGTTAGGGCGGGCGGCGGAGCGCGGAGCGAAAGGGGTGGGGCTCCATATGGGTGATTGAATTTTGTCTCCTCGAGTCACCGCGGGCCGGGCAGGCCGGGGCAGGCTGGACACACCTGTGGGCCTCGCCTCCACTTGGAGCGAGCGAGGGACCAAAGTGGGAAAGAAAGCGAGGCGTACGTAACGCACCGCAGGGGCGTACCGCGCCGTACACCCAGATCAATAGAGGCTGCGGGACCAGAGAGGGGGGGGGGCACACCACCAGGGCGTGGCACGAGCTTCATTCATACCCGCCGCCGGCAACGACGCAGACAACGAGTTCGTAGCGCACGACGAGCGGCCGACTCCATTCCGCCATGTTTCGGCTACGGTTCCACCCACTGCGGGCCAGAAGACCCGTGGAGGCGGTCAAAATTCCGGACGCGTTTTGAGCTCCAGAGTCGCTAATTAGGACTCGAACCGAAAGTGTGACCCCACCAATAGATTGGTCGCCGAGCGAGGAATTCATTGGTGGGGTCGCATGTCCTGTTTTCTAGGGCTCAAAACGCGTCCAGAGTTTTGGCCGCCGGCGCCCACTGGGCACCGTTAGGGCGTGGCAGGGCACGGAGCTGAACGCAGAACGAGGGAAGGTGAAACCAAAATGAGACTGACAACTGAAATGGAGAGCTGGTCCTACTATAACGGTCACAAACAAAAATAACACTCGTAAAAACAATTAAATAAATTATTGAGTTACCCAGCTATTTCCGAGACATGCTTGTGGAAAACTTTGTGGTTCCTGGCTTCTCCCCACCACACCCACAGCAACACCACAATTTTCAGATTTTTATTTTTTTCGAGGGGTGCACGGTTTACTTGACTCGAGTCGAGAGCGATGCCGGTGCACTGGAAGTCACCTCGCCGCGGCATCGCCCTGGGCGAGGCCCTGGGCCTTCCCTAATGCCTCGCCATTACCGCCTCGGCGCTACCCCGCACTGTAAAAATGGGGACGCGGGGTAGCGACGCGGGCCCGCCGGAGTGCAGCAACCCGCCGCGTAGGTGGAGCGGGGGAGGGAACGCCCGCCGGGGAAAGGCGGGGTGGGGCGGGGCGGGGCGGGGCGAGGCGGGGCGAGGACAAGGCGGGGCAACAACTGGTCCAGGCTGAATGGGAAGAAGCACCAGGACGCGATCCGCTGCAAAAACCTCGCCCGCACAAAAGAGCCACTACTGTTCACAACGCCACAGAGTTATCGCACCAAGCCTGGAGCCTGGAAACAATGTTCCGAGCGATTGACCGATTGGACCGTACGGCGGGCCGGGCCGTCCACCCTGCTGCCGAGCGCAGCCCTGTCTCTCTCGCACCGCCGCGGGACGCGCCGTGAGAGCGAGAGAGACAGGGCGAGTCGGTTCGGAGAGTGCCTGCTGCTGCAGCCAGCCGCACCCAGGATTATTCTGCGCAGAGGGTTTTTCGGCGGATGCGGGGCGGGCTGCAGCGAAAGGGTGGCCGAGGGGGAGGGGGAGGAGGGAGTCGTTGGAGACCAGGACACGCCCAAACCACCGACATGTGAATCAGGTCAGACTCCCGGGGCGGGGCGGGGCGGGGCGGGGCGACGCGAGGCGTGGCCGCGAGGACGCGGGAAGTGGGCCGGGCGGGGGCGGGCGGTGGCCGGGCGGGGTGGCCGGGCGGGGCGGCCGGGCGGGGCGGCCGGGCGGGGCGCCGCACCCCGTTCCGCCCTTCACAAACACACGCGCGATCGCACAATGTCGCCAACCCCATCAAAGCCGAGTACAGCGACAATTAACCGGGGTGCATTTCGGTCTGGCCGCCTCGACTACCCCCGCCGGGCCACTCCCCCGCCGTCGCCGCGAAGCTGGGCCCCTTTGTGTGTCCCGGGGCACGGCGACCAGGCACCGCCGCCCCGCCAGGCAGACGGGACGCGAACAACGAAAACACGGCCAAGACAAAAGATGGGTCGGGCAGAGACAGGACTCTGAGGCTCCAGGAGCCAGCACGCCGCCGGGCCAGAGGCAGAGCAAGGCACCGCCAGCCAGGCACAGCCAGCCAGGCACAGCCAGCCAGGCAGCGCCGCCGCGACCCCTTAAGTTCTTTTACTCCGAGAGATGAACCGCCCCCGCCATGCGAGGGGCGAGCGCGGAGGCAGTGGCCTCTCAGGCGGTGGCCCCAGCGGCCCCGCCCCGCCCCGCAATGCTTTTCGTTCGTTTTTCGGTGCGTGCCCCGCGAGATCCACGGCGGCACTGCGTTCTTTGACCCAGAGGAGCCGAGCCGCCGCCGCGGTGCCACGCCCGCCTGGGCGCTCGGCCGCCCACCACGCCCACGGGCCAGCGCCCCGCCCGCCAAGCACCCCGCCCGCCAAGCGCCCCGCCCGCCAGCGCCCCGCCCGCCCGCCAAGCGCCCCGCCCGCCAGCAGCCCACCACGCGGAGCTACTTCTCGCCCCTCAATTTCCTACATGGCTCTTTATTACTCTGCTTTTACCTAGACCGGCCTTTTTCGGGCTACCAACCCCCGCCCCGCCCCGTCCTGCCCTGCCCCGCCCCGCCCCGCCCTCGCCGCCCCCTCGCTGCAGCATGCCCGGGCCTTGCAGTGGCCCGAGGGGGCCGGCGGGGCGGGGCGGGGTGGCGGGGCCTCGGAGGGCCGTGGAGCGCGGAGGGGGCTCAGTCGCACCCCAGACAGCAGCCCGCCCACAACGCCCCCGCAGCCCAGCAGCGCGACCGGGCACCGCGCGGTCCGGGGGTTGCAGCAGCGCGCGGCGCCACGCGAAGCTCGTCGCGAAGGTCCCCGCGAAGCGTCGACGCGGCGAGCGGGACAGGCCGCCTTGGCCGCGGGGCCGCGGCGCCCACGACCGCGGGGCCAACACCGGCACGGCCCGGCCAGGGCCCGGCCAGCAGACGGTAGGGCAGTGAGGCCGCGGATGTAAACCGCCGTAGTCGCGCCACCGCCCAGCCTGTGTTTGTGTGTGTGTGTGTGTGTGTGCGTGTCTGTGTGTGTGTCTTTGTGGACGAGGGAGCGGGTGTGTGTACACCGTATCGCTCCAGCTGATTGGCTGGCACTCGGCTTGCCTTGGCTTGCCTTGGCTTGCCTTGCCGCCCCCGAGCGGCAGGTTCAACAACCCTTTGACGCAGGCGACCCTCTCTTCGCCCTACACGGCCAAAAACAATTTACAGCCAATTAATCCCGTCGGTTTCGCGGTTTCAGTGAGTTCTGAACCATGGGCAAAATTTTGCTATGGGGAAGTCCGTGACCGAGGTATACCTCGTTATATACTCTCAATTCTGTGACCTCTATTACGCTCTATTACCCCTAAAAATAATCGGGATTTAGCAAAACAAACACCCCAAATAGGCCCAAAGACAGGCAAATATTGGAGAATTTCGGCTAATACGCTACTATTTCGCCAACTTACGCGTCCTTTTACTGACAGAGCGACCCAACTTTTACGCGAGTGCATACCCCCCACAACTCTCTTAACTTTGCGAGCCAATATTTTGTTACTCCTTGAAGGAATAAAAGTTTTTACTGCGGTTACAAACTATCCCAAGCACTCTCTCACCCGCGTCCTCCATCCCAAGTATACAGGATCCGTTTGTTGCCCCAGCAAACTCTTTTGCTAAAAGAGACAAACTGTTTGTTGTTTTTGCTGTTCCATTATGCAGTGGTCTGTTTAGTGCTCACTGAAACATGCGCAAGACCGACAATTTTTTTCTCTTCCTCTTTTTTTTGCGTGCATCTGGCCGGTACTCTAGCGGAGTATCTCCTCCACGCAGCCTCCCCCTCCCCCTTCCCTCCCCCACCCCAGCCTCCCCGCTCCGCCCTGTGCCCCACCATGTCAATATTGCAGAGTGCACTATAACATCGCACTGGACTGATGTCCGTACAAAAGGCAGAAAGAGGGAGAAAAACCCAGCCGGATAATCCACGTCCATTTTTCATGAGACTCCCCTGGCCACCCTTTAGACATTATGACTGGGAGAGTAACGGAGAGTAAACGGTACAGGCAATCGGTCGGCAATCCAGTCTGAATCCCGAACGACCAGTCCAATATTTCCATACAGACTTGCCGTATACGGCATATATTTCCAGAAAAAGAAAATCCGTTTCTGCGAGACTTTTGGTCCGTTTTCCAATTGATTTCTGAGCCGCCGCGCGCCGCGCACAGTGGGCCAGAAGACCAGTGGAAGCGGTCAAAATTCCGGGCGCATTTTGAGCTCCACAGTAGCTGAATGGGACTAGAATCGAAAGTGTGACCCTACCAATGGATCCCTCTCCGAACGAGGAATCCACTGGTGGGGTCACACGTTCGGTTCGAATCCTGCTTAGCGACTCTGGAGCTCATAACGCGTCTAAGTTTTGGCCGCTGGCGCCGGTCTTCTGGCCCACAGTGCCATGGGATGTGCCCCGCGTCCACGGGTACATAAGCGGCCATAAGTCCC